AGTTGCAATAAATGAGTTGCAACATATTATAACCTGTTGCAACACATTGTTTCAATAGTATAATTTAACTTTTTACAAATCTAAGAATAAAATAGAATTCATGATAAAATAACTGAACATCTATATAATATAGAATATTGTCATCGGCAATTACAAAATATGATTAACTAAATATGATAAGTGTTCATGAATTACAATTCATATAAAATTCTTTAGCTTACAAAATAGAATTCATGATAAAATAACTGAACATCTATATAATATAGAATATTGTCATCGGCAATTACAAAATATGATTAACTAATTATGTTAAGTGTTCATGAATTACAATTCATATAAAATTCTCCAGCTTACAAAATAGAATTCATGAATAAAATAACTGGACATCTATTAAATATAAAATATTGTCATCAGCAATTACAAAATATCAGGTTCTTCACCTTACAAAATATGACTTCAGCAACTCATACCCTCTACAACTTCTGTTGCTCTTCTATGGCTCCTGAAGATGACTCAACATTGCAAGGAAGGGGATTAGTTGCAATTTGTTGTCTTTTTTTCATATTTGATAATATCTTGGAAATTGATTTTCTTCTCCTTTTAATCTTCAATGGTGTGAATGGCTCCGAAATTTTTCTTGATGGAATAACACATCTCTTAGATATCAATTCCTTAACAACACTAGTAAGAGTATCAAGAGACTTCTTCACATCTTCACCAGTAGATATTAACTGAGCCTCTTTGTTCTTGCATTCTTCACATTTACATGCAGAACATGAGCTAGAAGAAGGAGCAAAAAGATGTGGTATGTCTATTGAAAGGGTGAATCCACCATATATACCACAACATCATCAACATGCTCACAACCACTTTAGCACCAGCATCACCAATATCAACACCAATATTAGCATCAACATCAACATCTAATGCAAGATCATCAGCATCACCAGAAACAATAGGTGCTTCCTTTCTGATCGTTGTTGCTCCAGTCAATTCTTTTTTTATCAGATCCACTGTAGGGTCTGATTTTGTGTCAATAATTCCTAGAGTTAAAAAGAATGGCATTTGCAACTCTTGCTTTGTGGGAACAAGCCATGGATGTACAATCTATAAACAAAAATAGTTTATATTAAAACTAATCTATAAATTATAATAGATAAAATATTTATTGTAATATTTACCTATATATTTTATTTCTAACAGATGACCCATATGTTGCAACAGATGGGCCATCTATTGGAAGAAAGCAAAACAGTAGCAAATGATCAAATTTTCTTACAACAGATGACTCATATGTTGCAGCAGATAGGTCATCTGTTGGAAGTAAGCAAAACAGCAGCAAACTATTGAGATTTCATCCAATAGATGACATATCTATTGCAACAGATCGGTAAACTGTTGGACGAAAGCAAAATAGCATAAAAAGATTGAGATTTCGTCCAATATATGACATATCTGTTGCAACAAATAGGTCATCTGTTGAACCTAAATAAAATAGCAACAAATGATAAAGTTTTCATCCAACAAATGACACTTTTATTGCAATAGATCAGTCATCTGTTGGGAAAAAGCAAAACAGTAGCAAACTCTTATGTTTTCTTCCAACAGATGTACCCATCTATTGCAATAGATGATTATAGATGAGTCATATATTGGGAAGAAAACTAAACGAAAGCAAAACAGATAATCAGTTAATTTAAATAAATATTATTCTATAGGAGACTTACTATATCATAAGGAGGATCGAGGAGATCAACATAATTTATTTTTGGGTTGTTCTTGGAAGACAACCACCTAAGAATCCTTGGTTGAGAAATTTCTTTTGAGTAATCATTGAATTGCTTCCTGAGGTAAGGTATTGCTTCAAATGCCCAAGCCTAAAAATATAAAGATGATGAAAATAAAAATTTAAAATAATTATTCAATAACACAAATAAATAAAATACTAAAATTAGAGGTGAAGTTTACCATGAAAGCCCAAGGAAAGCCATATAAATTGTTAGTCTTCGGTGATAACTTTGACACCAAATACTCGACAGTCAAGAAATAACTATCATTACCCCATGGGTAATTGTTGAATGCATCCAAATCTTGAGCAAGCACAAACAAACTAAGATCTATGACATTGTTGATGTCTTTGGCCCATAAAATGGCATGCACAAACCAAACTAAGCACATTCGCTCTTTGTGCTTCTTCAAAACCTTTTTGCTCTGGAGATCTTCTATCAAATCTTTGGCTTTATAACTAGGTCCAATAATAGCCAACAACTCATTTTCATTATTTAGTTTTTCTTTGCCTTTGTTGGTTTTGGTGTTGATTGTCTTGACTGACCTATTACCTTTCTTGCCAACCTTGACTGATTTAGATATCTTTTTTTCTCTTGGCTTTCTTAAGCGTGCAACTTTAGGAAGAGGTTCAGAAGGAGGATGACATCTCAGTCCAGTCACTATGGCAAATTCTTTCATGCCAAAACAAACTGGCATGCCACAGTAGTTTATCCAAATCTCATCCATTTTCTTGTTCTTATCCTCCAAAGCATCATCATCAGCTCCCTTATACTTGATCCTGTGCTTGAGAAGATCATACACCATGCTCATTTGAAAACGTGCATTGTTAGCCTCCGGCAAATCAAGAAAGTATCCAAAACAGCTAGATTTAAAGAAATCCTCCAACTTTTCATTCATCAATATCGTTCTAAAAGCATCAAATTTGGCGCCCATGACTGATTTTACAACAAAATCACCTGTCAAATTTGTAGGGTCATCTATAGGCATCTCTACATGAAACTTGTCAATATTAAAAATTTTGACAACATCTTCATCTCCTTCCTCACTTTCAGTATCATCTCTTTCATCACTTTCATTTTCATCTCCTTCCTCGCATTCTTTTTCACCTTCCTCCTCATCTTCTTTATCATTTTTTCCTCCCATTCTTTTTCACCTTCCTCCTCATCTTCTTTATCATTTTCAGTTTCTTCATCATCTCCATCTTCATCATTTATTTCCTTTTCTTCTTCATTTTTATTTTTATCT